AAAAACGTACCAATAGATGGCCCACTCTGTAAAAACGTACCAATAGATGGCCCACCCTGTATATATGTATGTGTCTGTTAATTTTAACTTAGACATATAGTGGACTTTCTGAGACATGCAAACATGTAAAAATTAACTATACGTCTTTATGTATTACATTATTTAATATTTTAAAAAGAAAAATTGTTTTTTTCTCAAGTCAGAGAAAAATTTATGCTATAACAAAAATTATATAAATTCAATTTTAATAAATTCACTTCGACTAAATTACTCTAGAATCGAAAAATATAAATACCTATATCGATACTGAATTAAGGTGTTTATAGTTGTAATTACACATGCAACGTGCAAATTATGGGGCGAGAAAAGAAATCTGTTGCATGTTATAATATTTCAATAACTCTCCCCGTGAATAGTTTCTTTGATCTCAGTCTTATCATTACTATTCGTCATTATCTTGTTCTCGTTCTACGTAACGTATTTCTATTACATAAATGTCGAACGGAGGTATAGTAAGGATCTCCTTTGAACTTCTAATATAGGCTGATGAATGAATCCCATCAGGTTTAGCCTAGGATATCCTACTTACCGAGTACAGAGAGAGTGATGTCGCCCTCCAAAGTGGTTGTGTCGTTACGTGCCTGGCAAGAGTACCGTCCCGCATCCGAGGCTCTCATCTCTTGCGTGTAGATCGTTTGATTCGCGCTCTCGGGATACAGGATAAAGTGGCTCTCGCCGCCCGGCCAAGGGTAAGCCCTGTTATCCTTGTACCTGAAATAGAAGTAAACGCATTATGGTTACGAACAAATAATCTCCGTCACATGTTTGTCCGAGGTAAACGTAAAAAATAAATACAAAGATCGATTTTAAGAGACCGACGTATAGAGTGTTTCTTAAACATTGGATAATATTTTAGGAGCTAATTTTATGAAGAAAAGTTTTTATGAACATATAATCTCAGAGACCTTGTTTCAAAGATAGAATAAAAATTCTATAAAATTATAACTTCTTTATTAAGTCCTGGTTTTTAAAAAATTTATTTTTTGTCCTTTTTTTAGCGGGGGTATAATTATAATAATAAAATTACAATGAACGTAATAAAAATCTGTAAAAATTTGATTCCGTCCATTAACAAGTTCGGGACAGTAATGTATTACCTAAATCACGTTTTTGTGGCATCACTTTTTAGAAAATTATAAGTAAATGAAGATAATATCATATCTAATTATGAGTTAAAAAAAATTTCTTTCTTAAAAAGAATAATTCATATAAGTTTCTCTTCATAAAATGATCTCACAGATAGACTCCTAAAATATTGGACAGTTCCTAAGAAATAATCAGTGTATGGAAAAAACATATTTTTGGAATCTATCTACCTTCGATAACACAAACAATAATAAATTTGCATTACGCAAAATACAAAAAAAATTAGAACAGAGAGCATTTCTGGAGATAAACAAACTTTATCTTTTATTTTAAACAATATTAAGTAAACACGTTCAAGAAATGAAGATCTTTTATTTTACTTCTTCCATTTGTTCCGTCAGTTCAGAAAAAACGACATTTTATCAAGTTTTCAAATTCATCTATTAAAACCTTTTTCTTCGTTACATATAGGAAACGGTATTTCGTGATTTGTTTTCAGATGAGCGATGAAGGGGTGCGTTTATCGAGTGAGAATTTCGAAAATCGACGGAGAAAAGGGCGGAGCGGGCGGATATTTTTCAGGAAACGATAATTTATCGCGGGGAAAGGTTCGGTCGATCGTCTTGAAACACGTCGTACTCAAGAACAAGCCCGATATTTCCGGGACGGGAATATCGATGGCTGTTCTTGAGAGCATTCGTTCCGCCGTAAAGATAAAAGTCGAGGGAACGAGCGCTCCTCGACAAACACTCGAAGTAGGGAAGAATCAAGAGCATTGAACCGTACGCGAAAATAAATCGTCCTGACTACCACCGTCGCCCCCGTCGCAATGACTTCGTTAATTTGTCGTTACCATTGCATTGCCTCCCTCTCATTGTTTGCTATACCGTCAATGATATCGTTAATAGTTAATAGCTGCATAAAACACTCATTATCAAAGAATAGCTTAATAACGGCGAAAATAAATGCAACGTAGCGAAGAAATATAATAACGATTGCAAATGTTACACAATAATGCTAGAGTGCATAGTAATAGCAGCATAATTATAACAATAATAGAGCCGTTACGATAATCACGTTATTATACTCTTATCTCTTACGCCAATTATCTCATAAAAATAGCAATTTGTTTTACAATTATTCTTGTCCTACTCTGTCAACGAGTGTGAATAATCTCCAATTTTTTTTTCTTCCGCAAGAATTGTATTTCTATCATAATTTCTAATTCCGCATTTACATTTCCAAGTCGAACGATCCCGGTTACGAAGCTTCCTTTCGTCTTTGGGGTAAGGATTCGATGATGTTCCCATGAGAGGCAAAGAAAGTCTCTCCATGTAATTCAATTTTTACTATACGTAAATCTATTTTCCTTTTGCTGGCGGATCAAAAAGGCGCCTAGATTCCAGAAATTTATGCCTTTTTCAGGTGTAATACGAACGGATTGTTTATTCCTTGATTCCTTTCGATTTCTTAACCAATGATTTTATTCTCTGCACAACAACCATTATTCATTTCCCATGTAAGAAAAATACTTCCATATATCTTACATTTTTGCTCCTGGATACTTGAACAATCGTATATATGTTCTTGATTCTTATTGCCAGCCCGATATCTGAGAGCCTCAACTATAAATTTCAGAAGATAAATTTTGAGAATTAAAAGCGCAGGTTTTGGATTCTTTTTAATCTTTGAGCTTCAACTCCTTAAATTTTGGATTATTAAATTCCTATATATTGAGGGGAGACCGAGCTCAGTTATCATACTTTTTGATTGTCAAAAAGCTAATAACTCACTGTATTATAAAACATTTTCTTCTTTTTATTTATCTCTTATTCTTTTTGTTATACCATCTTCTTTTTATTCTGTATATTGTTGATATAATATTAAATCGTCGTGTAAAATAGTTTGCATCAAAAGCGTCGTGTGTATTATTTATAACAATTTAGGTTCCTCTACATCTGTTTCGAATTTGTGAACTTTGAATTGTTATTAGATTCTCGAGTCATAAATTCTTGAATTTTTGTGTCTCGAATCCTGAATATCATGTCTTAGAGCTATTTTTATTTTGCATAAGTTCTCAGTTTTCTTCTTGGTTTCTTAAGTATTTATATTTACACTGAGAGAAAGGATCATTATTAATCTAACCTATCTTTTGGATAGACTTTAGCTCGTTTACATAGAATTCGTAGATGATCGTGGAGTCTTAAGTTGTACACTGAGAAAAAAATATAGTCAATTTTAATAAATATTTAGTTCAATATATACTGCCAACTAAACATTTACTTACCGTAAATAAATATTTGTTCAGTAAAAAAATTGATTGTTAAATCAAATTAACATTTCTTGTACCAAATAAATATATCT